ACTATATTTCTGTCTTTGGCAACTATCACAATGTTTAACAAAATTACTAATATCCTCTGTCATGCCTTTCCAAAAGTAATATTTTTTAATATTATTTGTCATGCGCTTTACACCCGCATGTCCGCTAGTTGGAAGTAAATGAAAGTCATTTAAAATAACTTTTTTCATATCATCGTCTGTAATTCTTTTAGGATTATTTACAACACATATTCTTGGAAAATCTTTACTATTATTTAATCCTACGGTTTTCTTATATTCATTAATCATACTAGCTAGCTTTTTGACTTCATGCATATTACTTTCATTTTTAATAACGATTAATTCTTGCACATTTATTTCCTTGCATAGAATTTCTAAATCTTTCAACAATTCGTCTCGCACTATCATTGATAAAGAATTCAGATTCATATACAAAGCTGACAAGGAAGGGTTGTACAGAAAATTTTTATTTTTGGACACTGTATGTTCCAATTTACGCTTTTTGTTTATTTCTGATTCGTTAGTTATTACAAGTTCTATACTGTCTGCTGGCTTTTTAAGAATTTCTACAACACTCGGATGGCCAGTCCTTATATTATATAAATTCTCTTCCGCCTTGTTTGATTGTAGTTCATTTTGTATCGTTTTCTGTTTTGCTCTAGTCATAACATTAAGTATTTTTTCATTCATGCTTTTTAACTCATCTGATGCACTATTGTTAATAAAAACACGTGACAACGCATCTGCAGCTACATTATCACATCCTTTTACATACTCTACTGTAAAATCATATTCCTCTAAACACAACCTAAATTTTGTGAGTCTACTTGATGGATTTGTCATATTGAATAAATAAATTAATGGTCGGTGATCTGTTAAAATTTTGAAATATTTACCATATAAGTAAGGTCGGAAATGTTTTACTGCCCATACAATGGCGAGTAATTCTTTTTCAATAGTAGAATATCGTACTTCTGCTTTATTTAAACTTCTGCTTGCATAAGCAACTGGTTTTCTATTTTTATTCGATAACACTGCTCCTACTGCAAACCCACTTGCATCCGTTTGAACAATAAATTCATTATTTTCAGAAAAATTTGGATATTGAAGCACGGGTGGTTGTATTAACGATTCTTTCAAAGTTCGAAATGATTCTTCACATTCTTTTGTCCAGTTAAAGTTAACATTTTTCCTACTTAAAATATTTAACGGTATGGCAATTTCAGCAAAGTTTGGTATATATTTCCTATAGTAATTTGCAAAAGCTACGAATCTTTTGACTTCATCGGAATTTTTCGGAACGGGATACTCTTTTAGCACTTGAATTTTGTTTGGATCGGGTAAAATACCTTCAGAAGTTATGATGTGTCCCAAATATAATATTTCTTTCTTTAAAAATTCGCATTTGTTAGGATTGAGCTTTAAATTTACTTTTCGGAGCCTCTCAAAAACTTTAATTAAATTAGAATTGTGATCGTTTAAATTTCTTCCAAAAACTATTAAATCGTCTAAATATACGAAACAACTTTCATAGTTTAGGCCTGACATTGCAACTGTCATTATACGTGAAAACGAACTAGGACTTGTTTTTAAACCCATTGGAAGCCTCTTCATCTGAAATTGTCCTTGACTCGTTGTAAATGCTGTGAAGGGTCTACTATCTTTATCTAGTTTTACTTGATAATATCCTTGACTAAGATCTAAATGAGAAAAATATACTGCACCTGAAAGTGAGTCAAAAATATCTGTTATGTTGGGAAGTGGAAATTTATCATCCTGGCAGGATCGCCATGTAGTGCTTGCCGGGGGTAGGCAGCTTAGCCAGGTTACGCACTATTGAAACTCACCACTTAACTACTACATATCTTTATTATTCTTCTCTCTTACACCGCTTGGTTGCCTAGACACTTACTGCTTACTTACTAACTTCTTACTCCCTACATTTCTTATTAGTCTTATTACATACATTATTGCTTACATCTACATTAATCCCTACTCTAATCATTCACTCTCTCTTTCACACATTACTTATTAATTACTCCACTACAACTCTCTCGCTCTCTCGCTCTCTCGTCCTCTCGTCTTCTTGTTCTCTCATCCTCTCGTCCTCTTATTACTTATTCTCTCATTGTCTCATTTTTTCATTCTCTCATTCTCTCATTCTCCCATTCTCTCGTTCTCCCGTTTCCCCGTTTCTTCGTTCTCTCGTTCTCTCGTTCTCTCGTTCTCTCGTTTTGTCGTTCTTTCGTTCTTTCGTTCTCTCGTTCTCTCGTTTTCTCGTTCTCTCGTTCTCTCGTTCTCCCGTTCTCTCGTTGTCTTGTTCTCTTGTTCACTCATTCTTCCGTTCTCTCTTTCTCTCATTCTCTGGTTCTCTTCTTCTCCCGTTTCCTCGTTCTCTCTTTCTTTCGTTCTCTCATTCTCTAGTTCTCTCATTCTCTCGTTCTCCCATTCTCTGGTTCTCTCGTTCTCCCGTTTCCCCGTTTCCTCGTTCTCTCGTTTTCTCGTTCTCTCGTTCTGTCGTTTTCTCGTTCTCTCCCTCTCTCGTTAACTCGTTCTCTCGTCCTCTCGTTCCCTCGTTCTCTTGTCCTCTTGTTCTCTCGTTCCCTGGTTCTTTCGTTCCCTCGTTCTATCTTTCTCTCGTTCTCTCATTGTCTGGTTCTCTCATTCTCTCGTTTTCTCGTTCTCTCGTTCTCTCGTTCTATTGTTCTATCGTCCTCTCGTCTTCTCGTTCCCTCGTCCTCTCGTCCGTTTATTACTTATTCTCTCATTCTCTCATTCTCTCATTCTGTCATTCTCTCCTTTTCTCATTCTCTCATTCTCTCATTCTCTCATTCTCTCATTCTCTCATTCTCTCATTCTCTCATTCTCTCATTCTCTCATTCTTTCATTCTCTCTGATGGTAATAGATACAAATTTTGGAAAGAGTCTTACTCTTATCATCCACTCCATAATTTTTAAATTATTTCAATTTACTTTAAAGTACTCTCAAAATTCCAAGTATTATATCTCAAAAGAAATCACCGATCTTTATTTCTTTCCTTCTCCCCTTCTTTTCAATTTTATTTCTTTCCTTATTTCATTCTTTCTTTCTTTCTTTCTCTCTTTCTTTTTTAGCAAAATTTGCAAATAATGTCATCAATATTTTGATGGTGATCGACATAAATTTTAGAATGTGTCGTATCATTCACAAGATAATTTTCCAGTAATCAGTCCAAAATTCTAAAAATTATTTTGTCCAGTGACCAATAAGCACATTGATACATGGAAAAAAAGGTAGAAGGGATGACCGCTATTTATGGGCTGAGCTCGTTGAAATAGATAGGAATGTTACGCTTGGTTGGGCTGTCACAACTCCAACCCTCCCTCCGACTTAGGATTGTGCTTGACAGGGATTACGCAAACCTACCCCCTTCCCCGTTTGCCGTACGATTTGCACTTACGGTCGGTGCCACAATTACGTATGACGCAATTTCATCTACGACGAGCGGATTGCGTAAAGAGCTGCAGTTCCTCCCCACCCGAAACGAGAGGATTAAGAAACGAGTTGCATTTACGATTACCGTCGCGATCACGCCGAATGACACAATTCCTTCTACGCCGAGCGAAGTGCGCAGAGAGCCGCTCTTCGACTCCATCCGAAACGGAAGGGCTGCCCCGAGCGACGCACTTAATCTCGCTCCGCGAAGCTGCAAATTGCCTGCATTAACGCAATTCCGTCCGGACCCTGACGTTCATCAATCCCTATGTTTGGCTTCACCTATATCGTACAACAAATTGTACAAGCTCTTTATTGAATTATGAACCTTCTTGAAGTTTTTGTACAATATCAACACTGTTTACAAAAAATATAGAATGAGATACGACATATTCAGTACTTTGATAATAGGTTTTTATTTCACATTTATATATTTCAAATCCATATTTTATAAAATTAGTTTCTTAATTTTTTTATGCATTTCGTTGCTTTTCTCGCTTCTTTTATTCATGTTCTTCTTGGTCGGCCTGTCGTTTTCTTATTTAATCAATAAAATAACGGAAGAAAGATTGTACAGTGAGAGTGAAATAGACAAACTAAATGGAACGACATTTTCTACGAACTGCATTAACCGGATCACAATGCGATGGTCCAGACTTTTTATTGCTTCGAGTTCCGCTTATCAAATAAAACATTGCTGATGGACTCAATTACTATACTCCTTTAGCTTACGCTCAATAAGTAAAAGTGGCCTCTCAGCAGTAATAAAACAACTTGAAGTGTTTATGTTTATAATCGGAAGAATGTCACGTAGAAATTAGTTTGATTTGAATGAGTGTATCGCCTCAAAAAGAGGATTAACATTATTAATTAAGTATGCCACATTTTCGAAAAAATGTGGTGACTCGTTGTTAATTTGATTTTATAAAAAGTTAGAGAGTGATTAGTTTTATTAAATTTAATTTATCTAATAAAAAAAATTACCTGAGTATCGACCAAGTCCCCGGATTTAAACCAGAATTTCGTAGACATTATTTAGTTCTGAGATAATAAACCGTAAACTGTATTACGTGGAATTCAAACAGCAGCCAAAATAGATAACAGCCGATGCTGGTGACACATAAATTTTAAAACAGCTTGTCAGCCGTTCAGTGTGGTCCAAATTGTTTCCTATTAAACAAACACGATCGATACAATCTGGTTAAATAAAATTAACTATATCTGAGCGTTCATAAAAATACGATTTTTTATTCGTCGAACTTGCTATTAACCAATTAGGACTCCAACCGCCTATATTCTCTTCCAAATTTCCGCAACCTCTGCAAAAACGAAAAATAATAAAATTCATAACGGTTTCAGACCCGAAATCGCAGCTGTGTTTCACCCGTCGAAATTGTTTTGGCTTTCGCATCAGATCCTCACCCTTTGTAGCTAATCAAAGATAATTAAAATTTCGTTCGGCAATAAACAAACCCCGTCAGCTCAGGTGGTGACTCTCTCCAGGCGCAAGCCTCTCGCGCAACAACACATCCTCCGGAATAAAATTTATACGCTCCTGCTGTCCGTAACGCACTTATAACTCGCCAGAGCTTGAAAGTTGTGCCGCAAGTCCTGCGATAAGCGCGAGCTTTCGAGTGCACAGTGAAAGTGAAAATGTGAAAACGGACAACTTGTAGAAACTTCAGACGATAGCAGCGATGGAGGGAGACAATTATACACAAGACGTCGAAAACGACGTCCCGCCGCATGTTTGGGCATTTATTCACGAATTTCTGCTGGGACAGGCGAATCCGAAGTTAGATTTGCGGAAACCGCACTTCAGACCTTCGGTGGCCACTAGCTACCCTTTTATCTTGTTTATGTATTCGTTGCTCATTGTGACCGGAGTGGCGTTAAACTTGTCAGTTTTTATTCACATCGTCCGAAACAAGCTGTACAATGATGTCACCTGCAGTTTTGTTCTCAACAATGTCATTAGCGATATTGTCAAATGCGTGGTGGTGTTGCCGATAACGTTGTACGTTTTGTTGATAAACAACTGGATTCTGGGCGAGCTGCTGTGTTCGTTCTTGCCGATGTTACAGGTGAGTGGAATTTCGAATTCAAAGGGTGAATTACGTGCTGAACTTGTTCACTTTGATTCTTTAACAACTGCCAATAAAAAATCTATTTCAACATTTTTCTCGAAGCAAGTTTTTTGAGTTAAAAATAAGTTAAGTTATTTTTAGATTTATTCATTTTTATTACTTATGTTTATAACTACTTAATTCGAACATATTATCCCATTTCCGTCTGTATGTCTGTGAATGTCTGTTTTCGATTTTATTAGACACATAATCCCTAACTGATTACTGTGAAATGCCTAGATGATAAAATACTAGCCTAAGGTGCCTGTACACCCCCGCCAAAATTTATGGGGTCTTTCACTTCCTGATAGAACAATACGCTAGTTTAGTAATTACGCAACATCGATTAAAAGTTATCTAATTACTTTCTCCAGAAATTGATGGCGTCATTTCAAATAATTGGTGTGAGGCTTTAAGATTTAAATTTGCGAAATTTTGTTCATTTTATGATAACTTCCATAAATAAAAAATATCTAGGTAATACAATCTAGGTGGTACAAAAACCAAGACGGTTTCGTAAACCACAAGTATAGAGGTACGCTATTTTGTAAAATTTAGGTAGCGTTTTTTTTTCTACACGATATTTCTAACATAAATGTGACAGTGGATCTTGTAGTTTCAGAGATTAACTAGTTTAATAAAAATCGACACAGACGACAGACAGTCGGAAACGGGAGATCTCTTTTTTCGTAGTCTAGAAGTCGTGAAACGTCGAAAAAACATGAAAGTAGCCATTCGTTCGATTGATCCTCTTACAACATTTCTTTAGCTTACATACACTCAGGAGGTAGAAAAAGCATCCGAAATAATATAACATGTTGTTCTAATAATACATTAGTAAGCAGAATCAAAATTACGATTGATTAAAAATCAAAATAAAAATTCTGTGATCACTAAACCAATCTCTATTGCACTGATTTAATCATTAGATAATGCTAACAAAATTTCATAAGTATAAACATATTACATAGCAAGTATCAGCCACGCCCACCCTCCCTTCATTTTCTTAGAGCGTATGTCATTTACCAAAATCAGTCGTATCTTAGGAAGTACTAGCCCCGCCCGCCCGCCCTCTATTTTCTTAGAGGGTATGTTATGTTCCAAATTAGTCATATCTTAGGAAGTACTAGCCCCGCCCACCCGCCCTCTATTTTCTTAGAGGGTACATCCATCATCTGCCAAAATCAGTCTTATCTTAGCAAGTACTATACATTCTTAAAAAAAATGAGGACGAATACATACAGAAATCTTGGTAAATTATCGTTCGAATTATTTGTAAAATTTTTAACGGTGTGATTCAGAAGCGAAAGCTTGTTTAGTTTTCTTCTAAAAATAGTTTCGTATGTGTTTGACTAGAATTAGAAAGCGGTAAAAGATACATTCCAGTTAAAGATTTCTAAAAAATATGTCGCTTTTCAGATTCCGTCCAAGACTAAAAAAAAGCGAATAACGTCTAACTAAAATAAAATTTTGTATTCAGATTTCTACGCTAAATTCATTGTAGGTTTAAAATTTTTAACAAATTTGCTAGTAAAAGTTCTGTTAAATTGCAATATTTTGGTGTATGTAGAATTCTTCTAAAAATAGCATCATTGAGACTTGATTTAAAGAGAGACGAAGTGTAATAGATGCAAAAATCGCGACGAATTATCTTTTGAATTATTATTGTAAATTTTTTTTAAAGGTGTCATTCGAAGGCGATAGCTTCCATAGATTTCTTCTAAAAATAATTTCGTTTGTCCTGGCAGATATTATCAGAAAACGATACTAAGATACATTCAAACTACTTTCGCTTGTCAGATTCCGTTGGAGACAATTTTCTAACCAACAATAAAAAGTTTGTATACAGATCTCTTCTAAAAATAGAAGTATCTATACAATTCAGGAAATGTACTTTTGGAGGGTGATTACAAGTTAAATTCATATTAGGTTTAAAATTTTTAACAAATTAGAGAGAAAAACATGGCAGTAGTTTCGTTCATACAGACTTCTAAAAACAGCATCAGTAGTGTTGTTTATTTTGAAATAGAAAATGGATCTTCAGGCCCCCAATGTCTTATTTTTGAAAAAAACTGAAATAATCTGAGGACCCCTGGTGTTTTAATTTTAAAAGAATTTGAAAGATGAAATAATCTTGAGCTCTCCAAGATCTTGTTTATGGAAAAATTTCGGGTACCCCTGATGTTTTAAGTATTTTTGAAAAAAATTGACTAAATCTTAGGGACCTTTAGTGTCTTTATTTGTCAATATGGGCAGGAACTTTGAGGTTTTGTGTTATGTTTTTGAAAAAGTTTGAAAGAATCTGTGAGCCTTCCATTGTATTTCATTTTAATCTTTAGATTTTTACAAGGTTTGTTTTATAAGAGTTCGAAAGAATCCTGGGAGTCCTTTGTGTTTAGTTTTTTGAAAGAATTTTAGTGTCCCTCGTGTTCCATTTTTGAAAAAAATCTGGAGTGCTCATAGTTTTTTTTTGAAAGGGAAAAGAATTTTAAGACGTTGACGTTTTATTTTGGAAAAATTTGAAATATTCTAGGAGCCCCTAGTGTTCTGTTTTTATAAAAATTTGATAAAATCTTAGAAACCACTAGTGTCTTTATTTTTAAATGTGTGCAAGGAATTTTGGGGTCCTTTGTGTTGTGTTTTTGAAAGAATTGGGAAAGATCTTGAGGGTTATTGTGTTCTGTTTTTGAAAAACTTTGAATGAATAATCTGGGAGACCTCGGGTAAAGAATGTGGAAGAATTTTTGAACTTTTATTCGCTTTTTTATAAGAATTGAAAAGAACCTAAGTAGGAGGCTTTTGTGTTTAGTTTGAAAAAATATATAGAAAAATTTTGGGTGTCGCTGGTGTTTTTGTAAGGGTTTAAAACTATTTGGCGACTACTGGAAACTATTTTCTTAGAGGGTACATCATTTGCCAAAATCAGTCTTATCTTAGCAAGTACTAGCCCCACCCCCAGCCCTTTATTTTCTTAGAGGGTGTGTCATTTTCCAAATAGGTCATATTTTAGGAAGTACTACCCCTACCCATCCGCCCTCTATTTTCTTAAAGAGTATATTATTTGCCAAAATCATTCTTATCTTAGCAAGTACTATACATTCCTTAAAAAAAAAAAATGATGACGTTATAGCACTATACATTCCTTTAAAAAAATGATGACGTTATGTCAAAATTTGCTTCGTTTGAAATATGGGCTGGAAAATAAAAATTTTACAAATTTAAGGAACTTGTCTTAAACCTTGGTCACTCATTGGGTCATAATATGACAATCTTTAGTAAATGCCTTTAATTAGAAAGAGACAGTAATATACACTACAGGGTCAAAAAAGGACTTTGGGAAATATCTCAAAATACGTCTGAAATAACTACTGAAATTTGCGACTCGAAAAAGTCGGTTTCCTGTTTCCATCTGTCTGTCGTCTGTCCGTCTGTCTATCTGTTGTCTATTTTATTATACACGTAATCTACAACTCTAACCAGAATTTGTCTGTTCATCCTCACAACAATTTAATGACATCATCTCAAAATTTTGATTTATTAATTCCCCTTACGTTTTAACTTTGGCAGCTAGATTTTTGGAAGAAAGTTTTTAAAATTTTCCAACAAAATTGAAAATGTATTTTTTTATTTGTCCAAAAACTTCATAACGTGATTTTAAAATTTTGGTAGATAAATTTTATATACAGTGTGGAAAATATTATGACCTGTTTAAAGTTGTATTAAATTTGTATCATCAACTTTTACAAATCATTCCAGAAATTTCACTTGTTTGAGTGTGGTTCATAGGCGAGGGAGGCGCTTTGTCCAAATAACTTCAGACACATTTTTTCGAAAGATAGGAAAAAGAAAATTGTAAAATATATTTCCAGCTAATTAAAATAATTAGTTAAAATCAACAATAAAACGAAGATAAACTTCTTTAGTAATATTAAGATGTTAAAAATATTGTTTTTTTTCCTTATAAAAATTTCGATAAAAAATCATTATGGGAAGAATACGTCCTAACATTTGGCTTAAGAACATTCTTTACTTTTCGAGAGTAAGTTAAATACGAAAAAGTAGGATCCCCGTTTCCGTCTGCTTGTGTTCTATCTGTGTCTGCCTGTGTTGATTTTTATTAGACAGATAATCTTCGAAACTACTGGATTGGTTAAGGTCAAATCTTATATGTGCGTTATAAATATTATGCAGATGGTAAAACGATAACTAAAATTTGGCTAATCATTCCTATCAACAATCTGATGATGTAACCCCAAAATTTTATTAGTAAACGCCATTTAAATTTTATAAAATAACCTACTTTTGTACCTGTAGTTTATGACTCCGCCTGGATTTTTATTTTAGACATCCGCAAAAAATCCAAATTGCATTCGTATGATGAAAATGACATAAACAGCCCTCAAACAAGCAGTGATATATTAATGAATTTCAAAAACCAATGTCGCTAAGAAACTCGAAAACAGTCATATTTTTATTTTTCGAACGTAAGCTAATTTTTTAATGTATAGAAGATCACAAATAAAATTTCGGAAAATCAAGTTTTGTATTTAAAAGCAGAATTTGTTGAAGTGACCAGAATTTTTTGCGAAAACTTTGGGAAAATTGTTATTAATAACTATTAATTAGAGTGGTGGTACTAGTAGGAACAATAAAATTTGTCCAATGTTATTTACTTGTAAAATTCAATATTGAGATTTTTTTATTATCACCTCTATATGTAAAATATATAGATAATACCAATCACAGTGTAAGAAAAAAACAAACCTGCGCAGGCTAAGTTACGGGCAGGCTACGCTAACCAATGGACGATTATAAGCGCTCCGATTGCTATTAAATTTGTATTTTTTTTCGGAAATCTGTACTCAAGGCGGATTCATATACCATAAATACAGGGTTATGTTATTTTATAAAATTTTAATGGTATTTATTATAAAAATTTCAGGTGATGTTATTACCAT